TCTAAAATAAGTGACAATGACAGTGTGAGAAGAATGAATAAATGCCAATAAATTAGTAAGAATTTACAGAGGGGTAAATAAATAACGATAAATAAAAAACATATATTTTTTATATATATATATATACAACATTCTGGACAAAATACAAATAAATATATACACATACACATATACAATATATATGTATACAGATCTAAAATAAGTGACAATGACAGTGTGAGAAGAATGAATCAATGCCAATAAATTAGTAAGAATGTTAAATAAATAATGATAAATAAAATAAAAATAAATAATAATAAAAATAAATAAATAAATACAAAAAAAAATCTCTCTCTCTCTCTCTCTCTCTCTCTCTCTCTATATAAATAAAATAAAATTTAATGTCTTTTCTATCTGTCTCTATGCTTATCTATTTGCTATACATCTTTGGGGCGTTTCAGACTTGACTCTGTTCGACGAACAAGGCAACAAGACGGCGGTGCCCAACAAGGAGCGTCAGGTGGAGGCCCTGCAGCTGCTCTTCCTGCTGCTGCCCCAGGCCAACCGCTCCCTGCTCAAGCTGCTGCTGGACCTGCTCTACCACACCGCCCGGCAGCAGGACAAGAACAAGATGTCCGCCTTCAACCTGGCCCTCATGTTCGCCCCGCACGTCCTCTGGCCCAGACACGTGAGACTGGACGTTTACCGGCAAATTTAAGAGTACCCAGTTCATTCAAGAGGATTTTTTTCTGTATAAATTAGTAACAATTTCTGGAATACAAAAGTATGAAAAGACATACAGATGTGCAGGTTCCCAGTTCTATCCAATCCAATCCACTTTGTTTATATAGCATGATTTCGACAAACACAAGGTTTCCAAAGTGCTGCACAAAAAGATGTACAGAATAAATAGATAAAACAATAGAAGTACAGCAAGAAAAGATGACGTACACAGTAAAAAGGTAAAATAAATAAATATAAATAAATAAAAGCACTGCCCGCACAGGATAAAAATATGCATGTACAGTGGGGGAAATAAGTATTTGACCCCTTGCTGATTTAGCAGGTTTGCCCACTTACAAAGAATGCAACGATCTATAACTTTAATCATATGTACATTCTAACAGTGAAAGACAGAATCCCAAAGAAAATTCCAGAAAATCACATCATATGAATTTATACAAATTTGATAACCATCCGATGAGGAAAAAAAGGCATTCTTTGTAAGTGGGCAAACCTGCTAAATCAGCAAGGGGTCAAATACTTATTTCCCCCACTGTATGGTGGACATTTTGTTTAGGGGTGTGATCTTTTTGTGCCATCAGGTTGTTTGAACTTAAACAGAACATCTGAGCTTTTCTTCTGCTGACTCAAGCCACAAGTAAAAAGCATCATGTCTTTATCTGTGTATCATTTGATGTGGAGCATTTCCATTTAAGCCTTTTTGTTCTTTGGAAGTCAAATCTTTGCGATTTGTCTGTTAGTGCTGTGTTTCGCTGAATATCATGAGTTCTGTCCTCTGTTTTTAATTTTTCAGATGACAGCAGGTGACCTAAAAGACAATCTAAAGAAGCTGAACAACAGCATGGCGTTTCTCATCAAACACTCCCAAAAGCTCTTCAGGGTGATTATTGTCTACACAAACACAGAACATTGGTCCATTTTAATTGTGAATGAAAAGGCTGGAAACAATAACAATCAGACCAGGACTCAGACCCTGGATTCAGCACGGTACTGGTGACCCGTGATGACTGAAAAGCCTTCTGTGATGTGTTCAGGCTCCGGTCTACCTGAGAGATTACGCCAGAGTGTATTTCACTGGGACAAAGGCTCTGCAGACCAAGGTTGGTGATGGGTATACAGCATTTTGTTCTGCTTTACACACAGTAAATGTACATATATAAAAAAGTCACGCATCAGCTTTATCTTAAATGCAAATGTGATTAATTTAAATGTTTACAGCACCAATTCATTCAGTTAACTGAGGGCACTTCGAAAAAACAGTGTATATTCCAGTTCTTTGTAGTTTTCCCTTGGTAAGAAAAACAGCAGAATAGATTAAAAAAAACTTTTTAATTCTGTTTTTTAATTTGTATATTAGATAATGCTGCTATTCACCATCAGGTTACTTTTACCATTTACCTAACGACATGAAAAAGACTAAACGAACTTCAAGTCAGGCTCACCAATTATAGCAAAATGGAAACACTGATCTTAATTTCATCAATTACAAATTCCTCAGTTCTGAAGATTTGAATCGGAATGTCTGAACTGGCATGGATAGAAAAGGAAAATCGACCGGAATACGTCGCGTTTATTTCCTTCCTTCCGTCCTGAGGATGCAGCTTGACTTGTATAGCTTGTATATTTGTTTGCTTTGTATATTTGTTTCCTTTTGCTGTACTTTATGCACCTTTTCCTCCTTTTGAACTCTAACCGATGTGTGACCAGTGAATTTCTCCACTGTGAGATCAATAAAGCTCTTATCTTATCTTATCTTATCTTGACTCTGACTGTGCTCTGTCAGGA